TTATAATATATATGGTGACAAATAAATGTTTGGATATTTTTTCAAAAGAACAAACATTCATTAAGTCTTTTCAGGCAGGTAAGAAAAAACAACTTTTGGATGTAAAAACTTCAGATTTCTTAACATTTATTAATGGAACCATCATGGTCTGTCCTGTGTAGGATGACAAAACACTAAAATACTTTTTATTAAAACCTCTGTAACTTTGCTCCAGTTAATTTTAGCAGCATGAATCTTTGCACAGGTGATGTCCACAAGTGGATTTATGGTTTCCAGGAGTTTTTAGCCTGAATCATTATGGTTTTAAATGGGTTAAATACTGTTAAATGCAAACGAGAGGGGAAAAATATTTTAAAAAATTTGTTCCATCCTGAATATSTCTAAATCAACAGCAGCTGTTTCAATRCTCACACTTCTGATGCAATCGCCCAAGTTTTAGCTTTATTTTGATACCAAGATGATTTAAGTAGATTTTGTAAATGCTGAGATACACTCAGTTATATTCCAGCATGGTATTTTGAGCAAAAACTTCAAGAAAACCTCTTGGGGCTTAAGAGGTTTAAAAAGTGTTTTTTTGCAGGGTCACCTCCAGATAAGTCATTTTGTAAAATCTAACCACTCATTTTTACTCCATACTTTTACATTTAATACTTAAATACATTTTATGTCAGAAATTTGTAAGTATACTTTAAGACCCAATAGTCTTAGAGGAGACTTTAACTTTTACTATAGTAATTTTATGGTAAGATACTTGTTCTTTTACTCAAGTATCACTTTGAGGTAGTTGATACAACACTGTCAGTTTGCATGTTGTGGTGTTTGTGTGGGTTTCCTCCCACAGTCCAGAAACACACGTTGGTCTGCCTTCAGGTGCAGCGCACCTTGAACCTGAGATCTGTGAAAAGTTCATCTGATCACAAAAACACATCATTATTACCAAACAGACATTTAGAAGCTAATTTCTGCCAAAAATATTTAAACCCCACTGGACAAATTAAAAAATCTGCTAAATTGTGAGTCCACTTCCAAAAAAGTCCAGACCAGTGCAGGAAGTGAGCTCCACTTTCCTCTAACTTTTGTTCTTATTCCTCAGCGTGTCATTGTTCAGTGGATCTGCAGCTCTCATCAGATTATTCTTCATCTCAAAGACAACAACTGGTCCTTCAATGAAACATAAAGCCTCTGTGATCAAAATAAGTGTTTGTTCTGTTTTAAACACATAACGTCCTGACATTATTATTCCAACAGTGTCTTCATGGAAGTGGAAGCGTGGCCCAGGAGCGTCTTTCTGTGTTTATTCAGGTGAAAGAGTCTTCGGTATCGATCGTGGGAAAAAAAAAAACCCTACTGGAAGCCCGTGCTGCTGCCTGCCGGTGTTGACTCGGAGAGTGGGAAGCAGGAAAATCGATTCGACCAGATGCTGCTTTATTCTCAAAGGTGAGTCATATGAGCAGATCTGAAGTGTCTTTAAGAGTTATATTTTCACTGCAAGACGCTCCGAGGTGCTGCTTTTTACTGCTGTGTACGCAAACTCACAGCCAGTTGGAGAACAGTCTCTAAATCAGAGGAAAAATGTAAAACTTTAAGAGTCAAACCTGAAAAAGCACCAAGATAAATGTAGATTTTTTTTGGTTTCAGTCATAAAATCCTGCTCTAATTATGAAAAAA